AACAAAAGGGAAATTACTTCTTTATTTTGTTTTCTGATAAACTATTATGACTTTATCTTATTGGTTGTCAGTTAATGGTAATTTGATATTAAATTATTTTTATTCTGTAACATAGGAAAGAGTTGGACGTCGTTGTGGAGGTCTACGTGTCCTTAACTCTTACTGGGTAGGACAAGATTCGACTTTCAAATTCTACGAAGTTATCACTGTTGATACCGCACACCCCGTGAGTTGTTTATTAATTTTATAAGCAATTATTTTATTCTTATTAATTGAAAACAACTATTTTCCTTTCGTTTTAGGCAATCCGTAGAGATGCCAAGATCAATTGGATCTGCAATGCAGTGCATAAGCACAGAGAATTGCGTGGAAAGACATCTGCTGGTCGCAAGTCCCGTGGTCTTGGAAAAGGTCATGGTTTCTCACAGACAACCGGTGGATCAAGGAGAGCATGTTGGAAACGCAAGAACACCTTGCAACTTCACAGAAAACGATAAATCCATTTTTATTATATTATGCTCTTTTGTATTGCGTTTATATGGCAACATTATGTTAATAAAATGGTGTTTTATCTGAAAATTTTTCATTAGTTTTTTCATTCAAGTTGTCTTCTACTACATTAAACAATTTTTATTCCTAATATCAATGAATTATTCAATAAAAAATAATAACTGTTAAAGAGTAAGATAATTTTACGTTAGTATTTAATACTGCAAACGTTATGTAAATCTATTTTCCTCTTCAAGTTTGATAATTGGCAAATCTTATAACTTATATTAACATAACAAAATTGATTCTGCTGAATCCAAATTTACTAAGTATGTTTGTTAAAGGCTGAGACAATGCATACTGGTGTAGCACAATTATTTGTTCTTTATAAAATTTTAATGTAGTACAATGGTAGTTCTATTATTGAATTTTTTTTATTATTATTCTTTGATATTTGAACTTATGAATAGACTTTTTGAACATAAACATCAAATTATAATATATTTCTAATATTTGTTATCTAGTTTTCATATTGTGATTGTGAAACCTATATTAGAAAATTAAAATCTTAAATAAAATAAAAATTATAATACATGTAAAACATATTTGTTTTAGATTCATTGAAAATATAGCAGTATTCAAGTACTCATGTAAACAATGTTAATATTTATTTTTAGGGTTTTTACGCAATTGTGGGAAATTATAATATTGCATTGTTATTGATAGTAAAGATTCAGTTTTATGTTTTGTGTGCATGGTATTCAAATCAATGTTTAAATTGATTTTATTAATTAATTAAAAAATTGTATGAGGAATATTATCTTTATGAAACATAAGCACAACATATATTTYATTTTAAAATTAAGTTGTTGGCGGGAAGGAATTAAAATAATTAAGGTGAATGTTAGTACTATTTTTGGAGTGAGATTATCATAGTATTAAAAAATAAGTCTACTAGTTACTGTGCCGTGTAATAATAATATTAACTGAACAGTTGCTACTTAGTACTCAGTTTTCTTGATTGAGAGATAGCCTCGATTTAGAATTTCTTTATCTGCATTTGCTGTGTCATATACATTTGCAACTTGA